GACCGTATATCTGAATTGGAATTCCATAATTTCGGGCTATGTACAAGAGTAAGAAAAAAAATATTCGACCAACAGCTATAATCGGCACCAAAATAAAAGGCGTGTGCTCGATTCTTGAATAACTCCGTCACCTTGATAATTAGCGACCTGCGATTTTCAGTTTTGAAAACTAGACACCTGACCACATATTTCTGTAAGCGAGAGCAAATTTCGGAAAAATTTCTGAAGCAGGTTTTTCAGAAAATCTTTGGTAAACTAGCTTGGATTTCCGAAATTCACATAGGAATGTATTGAGTTTTTTTCATGAGCCGATAGTCCGAAGTGTTCTCTTCAAAATGGGAGTTAAGTGAGAGCTTGGTTTTCCGCGATTCGGGCGTTGTATCAAATTTTATATCGAGATCTTCTTTAAACAGGATATAGAATAGCTTAAATACTCTACATTCTGAAGTTTTGAACTCGTTGTGATGTTTTCTGAGTGGGCAGTGAATTTTTTAATAGTAGGTGAAAACAGTCTGAAAATCCTAATTTGTGTGAATTTCGGAAAACCCAAGCTAGTTTACCAAAGATACTCTGAAAAACCCATTTCAGAAACTGCTCTTTGGCTCTTGCTTACAGAAATATGTGGTCAGGTGTCTAGTTTTCAAAACTGGAAATCACACGCGGAGTTATTCAAGAAACGAGCACACACCTTTTATTTTGGTGGTGATAATAGTTATGAAATTCTGATAAAAATCAATTGTTTTTTTTTATACAGAGTACACTGGCATAGAGGTCCTATAAACATAAACTACTTATGAACAGCTGAATGAGCACTTGGTTTTATCCTCTGGAATTTAATATAATGAAAACAATAAAAATATCGTTCAGTTTTATGCATTTGTAACGTATCGGCAATTCGAACTTCAAACAAAAATCTTTTCCCGTCGTTTTTATGCATGGTTCGATAAAGCGTGAGCTGCTGATCCCGAAAAAACAGTTCTTAGCATTAATGGAGGATGTTTTCAGGTCAGAAAAATCAAAAACTTGGAAGGTATCGATTTCTCGAAAAGCACATTTTGGGCAATAAAAATACCATATTCGGAATCAGAATCAAAAACTAAGTCGAATGATGTGCATTTCAATCCTATCCGACTATTTTAATTTTTTATGTTGAAAAAATACCAAGATTTTCATTATTGCTTAAAAGTTGAGGTCTGATCAGGAAACTTGAGAATTACGGGCAGAATTCCGACTCTTGCGCCTCTGATTTAGAAAAAATGAATTTTCTTAGCATAGAAAGAAAAGTAAGCGATGCGTACTTTTCTGACTGGTGGGATGCTAAGTCGAATAAGATAACATATTTGACCTCCTCGCTTAACCAGAAAACTAGATAGGCTTACAAAAACGACCTATATGCCTTGCAGCGGGCGCCATCGTCAGAAGGCTCTTTCGGTTCAAGTCGATTTAACATCTTGTCTATACTCAGTTTTTAACGCTGAATCTGAAAAAAATGTTCATAGAAGCTGACAAGAAGACCAAAACAGAAAATTTTGCACATTTCCAGAAAGATGTGTTTTTCGAGAAAAACGACGCCTTCCTAGTTTTTGATTTTTTTGACCTGAAAATAGCATTCCTTAACGCTAAGAACTAGGTTTTCAGGATCAGCAGCTCACGCTCTATCAAACCATGTGTAAAAAGGACGAAAAAAGCTTTTTAGTTGACGGTCGAATTGCCGGCAACTTATATAATCATCAGTAACGGAAAAAAACAGAACAGCTGCGAGAACAGCTGATACAATTAAATACCACAATTAATTAAGGCTTGAAACACTGAATGTTACATGATAATTATATTATATATAAAAAATAAATAAACAAACAAACAACGCAAATATGATAAAGCTTGAAGTTCGCGAAGGTTATGAAGATCTTCGTTATCATACGGTAAACACCACCGAACCGTCAGCAAATATTGTTACAAATTCATTCCCTGTACTTTTCACTCTTGCACAAGCGCAATTTTCGTCAAGACAAAACCTGAAACGTTTAGTTAAATACCATCTTTCCTATAATGATTATCCACCAATACCGGTCGACTTGAGTTTTGCCTCATTGTGCGTCAAAATCAAAAAATGATACTTTTTTAGTTTACAAGGTTTGCCAATAAGAGTGAGTGAGAACAGCCCATCGGCCGTCCTGTCTTTTATTTGTATGTTATACCACTAAATTTAAAAACAACATTATTGACATAGTCGATACTCGGGGCCCTTGAAAACGGGTACAATCGTCTTTCGCGAGCTATGGACGGCCATTCTCGGAACCGTTTGAACATCTAAAACGTATGGATTTATAAGTGATTTTTCATGCTCTGGACGATGCCAAAAGTAATTTCTGACCGGCTTTCAGATCATGTAATACTGGCTGGAGGGTGTATAACTACCCATCTATGGAAGCACGATTCAGTGATCTACTCAGATAATTTGCTATTGATGTACCAAATGATCGATATGTGATGGCTGAACGTTTTACTTATCCAATATTTCTTCCATCACTAACTCTAGATGCTCGATTCAAATTTGACTAGTTGAATGATATTGGTTTTTCAGATGATATAAAATGAGATATAGTAGAAAAAATTAATAAATAAATTTCTTTAGTTGACAGTCAAAATATTCGATGAGACATAGGAAAAGAAATATAAACTACTATCCATCAAAAAACACAAGACCCGTGGGCATTTCTTGAATAACTTTTGATAGGAATGAGATAGAGACCTGCGATGTTCGCTGTTCAATAGCCAAGACTTGAGCAGGACTTCCTACAAGCGGAAGTAACTTTTGAAAAAGGTCCAGAGATCGGGTTTTCAGAAGATCTTTAAGAAACCAGCTCCGTTCTCAGAAAACTAACATACAATGTTAGTAATTTTTTGCATGCGTAGATAGTTCGGACGTTACTCTACAAAATTATGCAAGTCCCGGCTCTCTAGTTATCGTCGTTCGGGCAGGGCTCGCTTTCCCCGAGCACGTGTCTATCTCCGAGCAGACATCTC